AAACTTGGTTTTAGTTGTTTAAATAAAGCTTAATTTCTAGAAGCTTATTCTAGAATATGTGGTAGGTATGAAATTATTGTGTAGTAGGCGTGGTAGGTGTGGTAGGTGTTGAATTATTGTGTGGTAGGTGTGGAATTATTTGTAACCATTGGATTGTAATTGTGGTGGCACAATCTTAGTCATTAATTTAGGAGGTGCCACTAGTATAAATAGGGGTGGAGTCTTTGAGTTTGAATCAAGCCAAGTAAAGGTGTTGAATAAGAGTGAAGCTTCTTCCATAAGTTGTTTTTTAGCCTTTGTCATTTCCTAAAGGCTTCTCCATTCCAACACAAAGCTGGATCTAAAACTGAGTTGGGTTTCTGAATCGCATGATTATGGATCAATATTATTAGCTTCATTTTTTTTTTTGTGGGAATTTACATACTTAGGACACAATTTTTATGTTTTTACATGTCTCACACTTATACATTTTACTTCTAAAAAACTGGTAAGGGTACTATTTTCTATGTGATATTAAAGATTTGAGTGGTATGTATGTGATTATGAAAGTTTAAGTGTGAATATATAAGATTTGTGATGTAAATGCCCCCTTTTTTGTAGTCTAATAACTGAGTCAGGTGGGGGGAGTATCATTCATTATAATGTTTGGATTAGGAGTTCTAAAAAATGGTAGGCACTAGACAAATTAATATCTACTGCCATCTTAAGCTCTCCTTGTGGACCATTTCATTCGCAAATTAATAATATAATAATAATAATAAACATCTGTAAATGAAATTGCATCTACATTTTCTGACTCGTTACCTTGTTCTACCGTCTTTTTATTCTCTACTGCAGCTCAAGGACTAAGTGAATCTTGTTTCTATACTTCTAGTTACATCAGAATGATTATTACTTCTTCACGGTTGCTAATGCAGATTTTTTTTCAAGACTAGACACTTTTTTTGGGGTTTATCTATTTTTTTCTTTTGGCCCTACGTTCTTGCTGGTAATGATAATCATCCTCAGTAGTTGTATCTCTTTAGTTGTTATCGATTGAAGTTTCATTTGTTTCGAGACTCTCCTCTCGTTGGTGATGAATGTCCAACGTTTCTTGTTCTACACTACTGATTGCCCGGAGGTAGCACGTCCGAGATTGCTCCATATTTTCACGAATGATCACCATTTTCCCATCATATACGAACTTCACTATCACATGTTAGGTTGATATGACTACTTTGAACTTATTGAGTAGTGGGTGACCGAAGATTGCATTGTATGTCGGTGGCGCATTAACCATAGAAAAAGTCATCCATATTAGTAAATTGATTGACACCTTCTTCTCAAGTGACTGACAACCCAAATATACCCAAGGCATCCTTTTGTTCACCGAAAAACCCATGAAATAGGTTGGTCAGCACAAACAGGTGATTAGTTGACATATACATTTTTTCAAAGGCTGATTTAAATTGTTCCCGAAAGTACTTGTATCAACCAATATAAAGGGTGCTTTGGGAAATTTGGTAATTTTGATGGGAATCGGGTGATGTGAGGGTGGTGATGGAGCGCGAGACAATCAAGTCACCCAAGATCATCCTAAGGCCTCATGATCTTTTGTGAAATCTCCTTGAGTTTCATCATGTTAGCCTTAACCAACTCAACCAAGTGTTAAGGTTTTGAGAACACCCATGTGAGACTTCATAAAAGGGCCAAGGGGTTGTTTAAACTTCTAAGTGGGGTGGGTCTCATCACTAGTCTTCTAGGATAGTTCTATAGTTAGATATTAAGTTCTAGGAGAAGAATTTAGACCTCACTAAAATGAGGTCAACAAATGTTTACTATCTTCAGAATAGTACAGTGACTGCAATGACTACTATTGTTGTTGATTTTTTTTAATGTGAATACATTATGACATATGCGCCTAGCTTATGTTGGAGAGGTTTCACTTCAGGTTTTGGTGAAGCAATAATTGATCAAATGAGTGAGCAGTTGTAAACTGGAAATATGTGAAATTTATGTTTTTGGCAAAAAGACACAGAGTATCATTTAGTAGTGTCATCCACAATACAAAGAGTATTTTAGAATGTTCATACAAATGTTTGGAGTTCGATGAAGATGACATCATTCAACAGATGAACATATTGTCTCTTTCATTGATGATTACTTCAGATATGTTTGTGTACACCATAAAGCGCAAGAGCGAGGTGTTGAATATTTTCATACTATGGATGAAGAGGATTAAGACTTAAACTAGTAAAATATTTGGTATATTTGATCGGACAATGAGAGCGAATAGACATCAAATGAGATCTTGCAAGAGTGTCAGAGAGCTAGGATAAAACACACTTCATTGTTCAAGAGACACCGTAGTAGAATGAGATATATAGAGGATGAATCGGACTTTGCTGGAGAAAGTTTGGTGTATGTTGTCAAATGCTGGGTTGGATTAAATTTTTTGAGCCGAGACCATAAATTATGTTTGTCATAATGATAAACATAAATCACAAGCAAAGAAGACGATCTTTATTGACTTCAGCATGGAGTTAAGGTGCATGGAGTCAAGGACTTCAAACTTTATGATTAGGTTGAGAAAGAGAATGTCATTTATATGGATGTTATATTTGACGAGACAAGCTTGTTGATGTGAGGGAATCAGGTGATGTGAGGGTGGTGATGGAGTGCGGGACAATCAAGTCACCCAAGATCATCCTAAGGCCTCATGATCTTATGTGAAATCTCCTTGAGTTTCATCATGTTGGTCTTAACCAACTCAACCAAGTGTTGAGGTTTTGAGACTGCCCATGTGAGACTTCATAAAAGGGCCAAGAGGTGGTTTAAACTTCTAAGTTGGGTTGGTCTCATCACTAGTTTTCTAGCATAGTCCTATAGCTAGATACTAAGTTTTAAGAGAAGAATTTAGACCTCACCAAAATGAGGTCCCAGAATAGTACACTAACAGCAATGATTGCTATTGTTGTTGATTTTTTTATGCGAATACATTATGACATATGTTGCTAGCCCATGTTGGAGAGGTTGCACTTAAGGTTTTGGTGAAGCAATAATTGATCAAATGGGTGAGCAATTGTAAACTCGAAATATGTGAAATTTATGTTTTTGGCAAAAAGACAGAGTATCATTTAGTAGTTTCATCCACAATACAAAGAGTATTTTAGAGTGTTCATACAGATGGTGTTCATACAGATGTTTGGAGTCTACAGATGTTTGGAGTCCGCGAAGATGACATCATTCAATAGAGAACATATTGTCTCTTTCATTGATGATTAATTTAGATATGCTTGTGTACACCATAAAGCGCAAGAGCGAGGTGTTGAATATTTTCATATCATGGATGAAGAGGATTAAGACTTAGACTAGTAAAATATATGGTATTTTAGATCGGACAATGGGAGCTACAAACATCAAATGAGATCTTGCAAGAGAGTCAGAGAGCTGGGATAAAGCACACTTCATTGTTCAAGAGACACCGCAGTAGAATGAGATAATATAGAGGATGAATCAGACTTTGCTGGAGAAAGTTTGGTGTATGTTGTCAAATGTTGGGTTGGAATAAATTTTTTGAGCCGAGACCATAAATTATGCTTGTCATAGTGATAAACATAAATCACGAGCAAAGAAGAAGATCTTTATTGACTTCAGGCATGGAGTCATGGACTTCAAACTTTATGATTAGGTTGACAGAGAGAATGTCATTAATATGGATGTTATATTTGACGAGACAAGCTTGTTGATGCGAGGGAATCGGGTGATGTGAGGGTGGTGATGGAGTGTGAGACAATCAAGTCACCCAGGATCATCCTAAGGCCTTGTGATCTTATGTAAAATCTCCTTGAGTTTCATCATGTTGGCCTTAACCAATTCAACCAAGTGTTGAGGTTTTCAGGCCACCCATGTGAGACTTCATAAAAGGGCCAAGAGGTGGTTTAAACTTCTAGGTGGGGTGGGTCTCATCACTAGTCTTCTAGGATAGTTCTATAGCTAAATACTAAGTTCTAGGAGAAGAATTTAGACCTCACCAAAATGAGGTCAACAAATGTTTACTATCTTCATAATAGTACAGTGACTGTAATGATTGTTATTGTTGTTGATTTTTTTTTTTATTCGAATACATTATGACATATGTGGCTAGCTCATGTTGGAGAGGTTTCACTTTAGATTTTGGTGATGCAATAATTAATTAAATGAGTGAGCAATTGTAAACTCAAAATATGTGAAATTTATGTTTTTGGCAAAAAGACAGAGTATCATTTAGTAGTGTCGTCCACAATACAAAGAGTATTTTAGAGTGTTCATACAGATGTTTGGAGTCTGACAAAGATGACATCATTCAACAGATGAACTTATTGTCTCTTTCATTGATGATTACTTTAGATATGTTTGTGTACACCATAAAGTGCAAGAGCGAGGTGTTGAATATTTTCATACCATGGATGAAGAGGATTAAAACTTAGACTAGTAAAATATCTGGTATATTAGATCGGACAATTGGAGCGAACTAACATCAAATGTGATCTTGCAAGAGTGTCAGAGAGCTGGGATAAAACACACTTCATTGTTCAAGAGACACTGCAGTAGAATGAGATAATATAGAGGATGAATCGGACTATTGGAGAAAGATTGGTGTATGTTGTCAAATGCTGGGTTGGATTAAATTTTCTGAGCCGATACCATAAATTATGCTTTTCATAATGATAAACATAAATCATGAGCAAAGAAGGCGATCTTTATTGACTTCAAGCATGGAGTCAAGGACTTCAAACTTTATGATTAGGTTTAGAGAGAGAATGTCATTAATATGGATGTTATATTTGACGAGACAAGCTTGTTGAAGTAAGTGGAGAGTTCTATTGGGATCATAGATATACGAAAAAAGCTGGAGTTTGATGCAACTCCATGCTCCACAAATTTCGTCCACTTATACTCAAGTATCTGATCCAGTTGTAGCTCAAAACATATATATTGATAGTTCTCAGGAAGAGATGGAAGAAGATGTTGAGGATGAGGTCCATAATTGAGAATCTATTGCCAAAAGAGGAGCCATATGCTAAAATATCACAAAACTTAGTTAAAGGATCACATTGCACATGCACTTTTGACCATGAAGATTGAAATTCTTTGTCACTACAAGAATGTTGTGGAGAGCTCAAATGGTTATCTTTAAAGAGGGGAAACAGATGAAGAGATGGTCTCTTAGAAAGAATGTTATTGAAGGTTGGTGAAGGTTCATTCAGAAAGAAAAGTCATAGAGTACACATGAGTTTAAGTAAAGAATGAAATATCTCATGAAGCAAGGCAAGATTAGTGGCAAAAGGCTTTGTACAACAAAAATGGATTGATTATGATGAGGTATTCTCCGCTGTCATCAAGCATCTCTTAATCTATATTCACTTCGCACTTATAGCACATTATAGTCTGATTTTAAAGTTGCTTGATGTGAATATTGTGTTACTACATGGGAAATTGCAAGAGAAGATTATATGTAACAACTACATGTATATGAAGCCTCAAAATATTAGGTTTGCAAACTAGATAGGTCTTTATATGGGTTGAAGCAGTCACGACGGCGGTGGTATACGACAATTAATGATGGGACAAAAGTACATGAATAGTCGTTGCAATCATTGTGTATATTTTAAGAAGTTGGTTAATTGTGAGTTTATTATGCTAATGACATGTTGATTGCATATGTCAACCAACCTGAGGTTGATAGGATGAAGAAATAATTGTAAAAACATTTCGAGATATAGTTTGGTGAAGCTCACAAAATTCTTGGAACGAAAACTCATAGATAAGACATCTGAAGAAATTTGGCTCTCCTGAGAAAAATTTGTTAGGAAGGTGATGAAACATTTTGAGGTCGATAACTCTCATTGCATCCCACTTTCAGTTGAGTTCAAACCAGTGTTCTAATAATGACCACGAGAGAACATATTTCATCGTTCATTATGTTAATACAGTGGGCAGTCTGATGTTTGTTATGATTTATACTAAACCAAACATTTCGCAAACAGTTAGTGTTGCATGCAGTTTAATGCATGATCCAAGACAGAGTCTTTGATAATCTATGAAGAGTATTTTGAAGTATCTGAATGATGCAATTTATATCGATTTTGCGATTGAGAGGTAATCCTTTATTACTAATTTGTGTTTAGGCTACACCGATTCAGACTATTCAGGTGATATATAAGGGCGTAGGTCTACGACTGGTTATTTACTCACATTGGCAAGTTCAATCAATTGGAGATCAGTTTATTAGTGAACTATATCTTGTTTATTATAAAAGCCAAGTACATGATAGTAAAAGAGACTATGAAGAAAGATATTGATGCAAGCTCTACTGAATGCTTGGGAGTTGATTATGTCTCTCACATGATCTTTTGTGATAGTTAAAGTGCGATATTTTCTATCATGAATC